ACACGTTCCTCCTCTGTACATGGGGCACATTCAGTTGCCGTAGCCGTTCCAGCACGCGTGCTCGCTCACGTGCTCCCAAGACAATACACAGAACAACACCAATGACAAGAAGCAACACGACAGCCGACGCACTTATGGCCGTCATGACAACCGCCTCATGTACTGATAGGGCGTGAGTTATGGCCAATATCGTTTGACCTTTTTGCCATAACGCATCCGTGTCCCGCAATTTCCCCAACAAAAGTAGTAGAAGCAAAATGCCCGCTATCATCCAAAAAAATGATGCGCACAGCAGGTAGACAAAAGCCGCAAAATGAGGTGGTCCAAGCAGTAACGTTGATAGAAATACTAGTACAAGAGGAGCAAAAATGTTTGTGAGGGCGAACAACAAGCGTACATCAACCGGTACCCATGATGGCAGCTGCAGTCCCAACACACCCTCTTGCGCAGACATACCCCCGGCTTCTTGAGAAGGTTTAGTTTTATTGCTCATATTGTGGTCACCACCGTTTGAGAATACGGCATTCATTACAATATCCACAAGCCAAAAAAGAGAACTGTAAAGTGTAGGAAACATACTCGGGGCAATCAGCACCATAAGGTGCAAGTACTGCATGTAGTTCATTAGTAACTCCAGCACATCGTAAATCATTTCCCTCTGAACTTCAACCTACACATGTATACAGGGAAAGCAGGGAAAAGGAGAAGAGGAAACATAAAAAATACCGGCATAACACCCATCGAAATAACAAGGATACAACCAGCAGAAAATAACACACACGCACGGAAATAAAGAGAGAGAAAGATGGACAAGAGAAAAAAGAGCCTCGTCCACATGCATTCTTTATTCCATGCACGATCCAGCAAATACCCCTACACAAAAATTTTCCTTTTTTTTTTTTTTCTTCCTTCTTCATTTCATCGTCACGGTGTTCGTTGGACTGTAATGTTTGCTCTCCTTTTACCTCTCCTCCTGTCACTCACTCTCTCTCTCTCTCTCTCTCTTCCAGAGATGATGATGGGGGCAGCAGAAAGAAAAAAAAACAAAAACACAAAAGGAAATGGTGGCAGCACCTCTCCCCCACACCCACAACAAAAACAAAAACACAAAAAAAAAAAGGATAAATTAATATTAAAAAGAAAAAACAACAACAAAAAACGAGATAAATGTATGGAAGCAATAAATAAAGCAAAACAACTCAACCGTTCTTTCCTTTTTTTCTTTTTTGTTCTTGCGCACAAAATATATACATGTAATTTTATGCATATGTGCCCCCGGTGTGTGTGTTCACCGCATGCGGAACAGAAACTCCGCTTCCTTCCCTTTTTCTTTTCTTGTAGCGGTCGGCGTAGCGGATATTTCCCATATTTTACACACACACACACACACACGCAGGACTTGGGTAAACGTCACACATGTGTTTACCAGCGTTTCTTCTCCATTTCTGACAACTCCTCGCTGCATCCCAGCAGTTCCACACGATTCTCGGGTGTCACGGTGGGGTGGCAGCCTTTACGAAAGGTCATCCCGCAGAGATCCCGCACCCTGTATCCAGTTACGATTGTACTTTCGTACGCATCGCGCCGGACTCGTTGCTTGACGCGACCATCCTCACACAGCCAATTCTCCACGTCAAGAAGGTAATACGGGTAAGTCGCCGTGAGATTTACAATGGACAGACAACAACAATGCGCTGTAAAGTTTTCCCAACTGCTATATCCCATCATCTCTCGCTCCACGCTGTTGTCGCGCCAGACGCCATCCACAAAATCCTCCTTCATTCCGTAAAGCATTCCAGAGAGGCAGAGGACAAGTGCCACCGTTGTGCACACACTTAGGGCAAGAAAGAACCATTGCATGTACTTCTTTATGGTAACCGCAATGCGAAAATCCACAGCTTGTTGAAGCGCACGAAGTCGATTTTTTTGCTTCTTAAATACATCACAAAGGCGACGACGCAGAACAAAGTGGCGCAGCAGCAGCTGGACGTTATTGGACAACCTTGAATCCATAGAGACGGTATGCCCGACTTCCTCAATTTCCTTAAAACTGGATAATTCCGGGGTTTCCTTTCCTTCTTTTATTTTTTTCTTCTTGTCATCTTCGTGTGCCACCGTGGTAGCAGCCCGGTCGCTCTTCACCGGCATGGAGTTAGACTGGGATTCAGATTTCGGTGGGAAAGAAAAATTTAAGAGTGTCCCTGTCGAGTCTGCAGCCGGGCAAGAGACCTCGGCAAGGAGTTGCTGCATAAATTCATCCCAGTCGCTTACCTCCACTCCCTCCAAGTGTACCTTTGGAAAGACAGGGGCAAACACCGTTGGGCGGCGTTGCCCAGCCCCCGGATTTTGAAGACTCCGCTTGCATAAACGTTCAAGCCTTTCAATTTGTTTCTTTGCACTTGTGGTGCATTCAAAAATCTGTCTCATTGAATTGGATTGATCCGAAATTTCTTTTTCCTCCCTTGGAGTTTCCTTTGTCGGATGATCCACGACTGACACCAATGCTCTTCTCGGGGCGCGTTTAAACGAACTTTTTATGGGTGTATTTTCACTGGGACTGTGCTGCGCCACGTTCTTTTTTCTGGAACTGTGACGCATGCCTTCTTTCTCCGTGCTGCTGGGGGTGTCATTGTCGGCGTTTCCAAAGCGAAAGGACATTGCTTCCATAATCGAGGGAATACTAGCCAGTGACACAGACTCTTTCCTCTTCACAACAAGAGGAGGATATTTCACATTCTTCCGCTCCTTCAGCCGTGCAAAAGTCGTGAGTTCCCCGGCAGCATTTCTATCGGTGGCCAACACGCGGTTGTTCTTCGCACAGTGCCATGGCACGCAGCTTCCTGGGATGTTGTACGTCTGCTGTTGTGTTTCTGAGGGTAATAACCAAAACGGCCGGTCGCGAAGTCCCGTAAACTTCTGAAGACTCCGTCGCTTCTCAAGCACATCTTTATACTTCAGCGAGAAGTCAGAAATGTTGAGGACCTTCTGCCAACGCTTCCACCAGCGGAAAAATGCCCCATTCCGAGAGGTCTTGGCGTATGTACTATTCTTCGCATCGCTAGTTGTGCTGTGTTGTCGTTGTTGTTGTTGTTGTTCTGCAACTGTCAAGTCCCTATCCCTCTTTGTGCATCCACGAACGGTGGTGGCAGCAAACTCCTCCGTCTCCGTCTTCAGCGGCTCCTTCTGCGAAACGGAATTGGACCCGCGTGAAAGTTGTTCGCGGAATGTGGAGAAGAGGGTAAAAAGGCTCCGAATTGTCCCCTCCCCCGTCCATTTCCTCATTCCCTTCACGTGCCGTTGCTTCCTGTGGTCTTCTTCCTCCTCCCCCTCCTCATCCTGGTCCAGGTCCTCTGAGAGAAGCGACATATCCTCAAAGCCGCGGAAGTACGCAGCGGGAAGAAAAAACCGAGAATCATTGAAGTAATCATCCTCAGGGAAATCAACGCCATTATTTGTGCCCATACCTGGATTCTGCTCCTGTACAAAGGGCTCTTCCCGCTCACTTCTATTGTTATCCTGACCGCTCACTTCCACAATGAGATCTCTCATGATTCTCTCTGCCGCGGCTTCAGACGAATCCAGCCCTTGCGCAGAATTTTTTCGCCTGTACAATGATCCATCATTGAGTCCTGGTGCTAAAAACAAGTAGGGGCTATTTCGATGTAACAGTTGCTCGTGTTCCTTTTGCTGCTTCTGGTCGGCAGATGTGTCGGTGCTCATTTCTCGCACTTCTCGGGATAGCGTTTTCGAGAGGATTCTTTCAGAGCTCCTCTTCTTTCCTTTGGGGGATTTATTCCTGCTGAGTGTGTCCATACCGTCCTGCCATTCCCGCTTCTCGGTAGCCGTGTTACTGCCATTAAAAATTTTGATTTCCCTATCCATCCAATGAGCCACGCTATCCCCAACAACATTAAGGCTGGGATTCGCATTCCTGACGTTTTGGGTGGTGGTGGTGGGGGCGCCCCGAGAGCTTTTGTTTTCCACCGCAAAACCATTTTGAAGGCGTCTTTGCAACCGCTCCGCACGTTCACGATCTTTCCGAAAGGTGCGAACAAGACCAATGATAAGCGCTGCCAGAGGCGCAACAAAAACAATGACAGCAAAAAACACAGACACTGCGAATGGAATATTATCCCTTCCAATTCGGTTGCCTACCAACCCAATGGAGGCTACACACACAATTACAAATTGTTGTACGGCCCCATATAAATTTTCCACAGGACGGGCATAAGGGTGCAGCAACGTGGTGTACAAAAAGTATAACATACAAACAAGAAGAATAAGCATTAAGCCTAGCCATGACAAACTTTCTTTAATCCCTTGGCTCATCAAGCAACTAATCGCCACTAAAAGAACCCTTTGAAGAAGAAATGTGAGACGTGCCTTACGGTAGGTGCGTCTGTATGCTTGGTACACTGGAGCGGAGACATTCGCGGACTTTCGGACTTTTTCATAATAAAGTTCCCTCTCGGTAAATTCATCCAGCAGACGCTTTTCAAGCGGGTACTCCTTCTCCAAAATCGTCGTTCCTCGGTGTGCCACCACAACTAAGAAAATCGGATACGCAACAGTGTAAGAGAGAAGAATGACTACCATAGTGGCTTTGTAAAAAACATTTACTTCATTACATGGAACAGATTGATCGTATGCAAGAAGTCTATGAACGTCTAATCTTCCACACAATCTCATCTGCAGGTCAGCTGGACAGTTCTGCGTGTGCATGGAGAAGTCACAGGGGAAGCAGGAATATGCAGACTTTTCCCAGATAGCGGAACCACTAGAACTTCGCATCAAAGTACCCGGAGGTGGCATCCATTCCCCAGCACCGCAATTAACTTCAATACACCGCATAACGTTTATCATGTTCATCAACACTGGAATATAAATGAGAGAAATGGCAATCATCATGATGCCCAGAACAGTACTTGACAGAAGATCGTACATCTTCAACTGAAGTTTTCGTCCCGACTTGAAAATACCGAAAGTGACCCACATGAAAGTAAGAAGGGCAGCAAAAATCAAAATGGAACCAGCCATACGTCCAACGCGACTTACTTGAAAGAAACGAATATCACTTATCGGTAGTAAACCAATAAAGACAATGCCAGCTATAAAACCAACCGCTGCCACAACGGCTTGTGGGAAAATAACAGCTAAGTGACAACGACGCAGATAATGCTTGTTGCCATTTTCATATGCCATCAATGCGGCAAGTGCCCGCCGGTTGACCTCGGACCGCATAACAGCCTTTTCAGCCAACGAAGTCCCCCACCCCTTTTCACACCCTTCATTGGTGGAATTCACCATAATCGCCTCTTCCTCACGAAGACGACGGAGGCGCCAGATGTGAACACCAAAAACTCCAAGTGAAATAAGCAAAACGGTGCACACCGTACCAATACTCACAAGCAGCACTCGAGTTTGATGGGAAATACCCAATTCCGAGTAAACCCACGGATTTGCAAGCAAAACTGCCCCAAGTACCATTGAAAAAAACGCGGCCAGTGTCATCATTATCCATCCAAAGGCCGCTGTAGAGCAAACCGTCAGGATCCCAACAATTGACACCAGTAATGGTGCAATGACTACAATAAATGCAAACTGCAGGCGGTAGTCTAAAGGTAACCACGCAGGTAACATAATTTCCAACGGGTTGCTGTAACGATTTTCTTCACTAAACCTGTCAAGAAATTCAAGACTGAGGTAACGAAGTGTCCGAAAGGGTTCCAAGTAGAAATCAGGAAAGCTATTCGAAGAGATGGAAACAAGAATATACATATACTGTACATAGGCCACTGTCATATCCACCAAATCAAAAAAGGTCATGTCTCCATCAGAAGGAATATATTATATATATAATATATATATATATACGCTTCTTATTGGTAAAATACAGCAATAAAAATAAATAAATAATTATTTATTCCTTTTCTCTCTATATGTCTGCGTCTATGTGTTTGTGTGTGTGTGTTTCGGCGATGCCAAAGAAAAAAAAAAAAAAAAAAGACATAGGAGAAAGACAGGGAGTGAGATAAAGAGGGAAACAACAAAAACAAACAGGACAGAAATGTATACATGTGAAGGTTGGCAATGTATGTGTTTCAAAGGCAATAACATCTCATGAACGCCATGCGTCTCCCCTTTTTGTAAAAAGGCAAATAAATGAATACATGCATTTAAATAAATAAATAAATAAATAAATAAATATATGCATACGGACGGGACAAAGGAAAAGGAAAAAAAGAAAACTTTTCTTTCCCCCCCCCACCCCCTTCCTCCCTGTATTTTGATCGTCTTTCTTTTTTTATAATCTCTTCTCCCTCTTGTATTCTTTTGCGAGCTTCCCACATGGGAAATGTAATACACGTAAACATAGTATACACGCGTGGGAAATGTAATAACAATAATAAAATTACCGTCGATCGTCCTTTACGCCAGTCAACCCGCAAATTTAATTATTCCTTTGTTTTTTTTTTTTTCTCCACCGCATTCTGCCCAACAGTAAATAAAAACTAACAAACAAACAAACAACAACAACAACAAAGTGTCTCTTCTTCTCTTCTGCGTGTGGCCACATCTTTCCGGCTTGCCGAATTCCGAAGGTCGGGGTAAAACCGTAGGGCCAACCGGGCTACTTTGGAGCACTTTTCATCACGCGGTGAAGACCGATGACGGCACCCAACAGACCGGCAATGGCGCCAGGGACGTGCAGCATTTCCTCCAGTGCGGCATCACTCTTCCCTGTTTCATACCCGCCGAGACAGTACATGAAGGCGAGGTACACCTCAGTCATATATCGCAACTGAAGGAGAATGGTGGCGGTCCAGTTTGGATGCACTCGTAGAAGCAGCAGATAATTCAATAACTTCCTCACCATCCACGGGATCAGCAAAATGGCAACTTCCGCCCTTTCAGCCATGGTTGGTTGCGTGGCGGTGCCGAAGGACTTTGGCCGCACCGTCTCGTTCCCGCGGCTGCAGACAATTTCTTCCTTCCCTCGGAATCCACCCAACGGCTTCCCATTTGGATCGCGTTTGCGCCCCGCCTTTTCCTCCTGCTTCGGAAGATCATCCGCTGCATCCGAGTGGGATTCCACAAACAAACAGCCACACGTCAAGCAGGCAGGGGCGATGTGCTCCGGATCTGCCGCCTCAAAGTATGCCGGGGACGAGCACAGAGGGGCACCAAAGTCAAAATCCACCTCAGGGAAGTAGAGGTCCACTTTGCGCCGGGCAATAAGATCACGGTAACGCCACGTGAAATCCGTCTCATCATAATCCTTGCAACGACAATGGTACAGGGCGCTATGCCGTGCGGTCGCGTACTTGTACCATCCCCGGTTCATCAGTCGGATTGTGTTCAGAAATAGGTCAATTGAAGAAACCGCCAACCATAACCAATTTGCACGGCGCTGCAACAAGGGCCGGTTCTTTTCCACACAAGAAACATTCAGGAAACGTTCCGATGAAAGAAGAAGAATATCACGCACGATACGTCGGCCAATGGTGGAAATGGTACGCACACCAAGAAGTAACATGAGGGGTGTGCTAAACTGCAAAAGCCGCTTCCGCCAATGCGCGGGATTCCCCATCTCTGCCGGAATCCCTTGCTCACCTCCTAAAACACAATCCTTGTATCCCTTCACCCCAAGAATACCACTTGACGTCAGGCTAACATCACTATGATTACCATCATCCTGACGTGCTTCGGAGTTTACATTATGGTCGGGGTCCTCAACAGTGGAAAGGAACTTCGTACCGCAAACAGGGCCTCTGGTTCCACTGTACGGGAGGGCGGCATTGTTAGTATTATTATTGTTATTATTGCCGCGAGGAGAGTGCAAGGCATCTCCTAAACGGGGTTCGTACGGCAAGACTTGGTACGAGGCAAAAAAACCACGACAGGGATCTGTCTTGTTCCCGTCGGCAGCAGAATGAGTCGTGTGAAGAAATTTTTCCCCTCGTTTGGGTGAAGAACTTTCCGTTGCCAGTTCGATGGTGTTGTTATCCGTGTTCATACTTGGGGTGTAACTCGGAGCATCCGGGTGGTAACTCCCATCGTCATCGTCACCAGTCGCACAAAGTGGATGGAGAAGTTTTTCAAACGGTCGTCTTGCCTGTTGCCCATGGTGCCGTCGCGTTCCAAGATATGATGTGGCTGCTAAAGTAGAATGCAAAGAAGGAGGGGATAAAAAAGACCCTGCCGTGTCCGGACTACCGTTTTTACTCGTTGCCGGTCTAATATCCAACTGCTCTCGCTGCTGCGGATGATCCCTCTTTGACTCCATCTCAAAAATGCTGTTATAAAACTTTTCCTTCACGTAAAAACGTGTTGTGGTAATATTATCCGCCAGGGTTTGTTTACCGGCTTCTCGCACCATAGGCATCATTGAAAGGGAAGTTGGCGTTTTCATCCATGGAAATTCTGCCCGTGCAGCGTAAAAGTACATATCATCTGTTAACAAACTCTCCACATTTTGCTTTGACACAGCGCCCATGCTGTTTTCCATACCGAGGCTGCCGTCATTCCTACTCCGACTTAGCGCACACCATGTGGAGGAAAGACGCAGGAACTGACCTAGCGAAGACTCGAGACCATTCATCATCTCCCTCCCCATGCTGCCATACTTTAATGCAAGACGACCATATATATCCTCCAAGAAGAAGAGATTTAACACCCATCGGCCCAATTTAAATAAACTGCGTCCATGTCGAATGGTGTTGATATTGCGCCAAAAGCGTTCCGCCCAGTAACCGGCAAATTGCTGTGAATCCGTTGTAAAGAGCATCGGTCGCTTGAGCAGACAAATCATCAACTGCAGTCCGTACTGTAAGCATTTGAAAAGCTTGTCTCTCCCTTCCGATGCTGTAAGGACGTAAAGAAATGTGCTGCGCGGGAGGTCATTTGGGATCAATGCCACAAACCCCTCAGACTCGTCCTGGAAGTATCCCTCCACACGCACCTGTGTGCGACAAATAGAATCCCGTTGACGCATTGAAATCTCCATCTCAGACGTCTCATTATCCCCCTCGCTCTCCCTGCCAAACTTGGCGGGATAAATAACACTCAGGAAAGGATCTCCGGTGGTTTTAGGGGTATTGGGAGCAAAAATGGCCTCCGTCAGCCCATGATCATGAATGGAATCCAGGCTGTGCATGCCGATCTCCTGTGTTGCCGTTGTACGACGGCGTAGTGTGGGCGTCCAAAAATGACCTGTACGCGGAGTGGGGAAGCGGCGAGCACGGAGTGTGGGGATCTCAGTGACTGAACCTCTTTGAGGGGACTTGTTGCCTTCCATCTCCCCATTCGTTGTGGTTGAGACATTGCTTGGCTCCTCCTCCATTTGGCCAAAAAGGGCAAGGCTTCCCACACTTCCGTGCAGGCCTCTGTACCTAACGCGTGAGGGACCCTTCGCGTCGCGCAATCCCCCGCCTTCCCAGTTGTCTTTTGGCTCAAGTTTCCTTCCTCCCTCTCTCCAGCGTTCCGTCTCCAGATCACCGCCTCGTCCTCTTTTTTTTTTTTTTGTTCTTTCTGCGTGTGTGTGTGTTTTGCTTTTTATCTATTATTTATTTTCTCTTCTTCCTACTCCCGTTTTTTTGGGTTCTCTTTCCCACGACGCTCCTCTCCCTATTCTTGCGGCACCCACGCAACTGGATTGCCAAAGGAGCAGGGAAGGCACACACGCACAAAATGAAAAGAAGTAAATGTGCCAAAGTGGCAGTCTTGCAGGGCGACATTCATCCCGCGGCAGTTGCGCACCTTCTCATCCTCACCTCCTCTTCTCTTTCTTGTTAGCTGCCGTAAAGAAGTTGTGTGCGTGCGTGCATGCGGTAAGGCGATGATCGTTAGTAAAATTAAAAAAAAAAATATTACGAAAAACATGCGATTCAAAACGCGTGGCCGCACGGCTTCCTCTCCCCTCACGGAGTTTCCTCCCCCTCCCCCCAGACGTTCCATGAACCCGTTGGCCGCAGCCGTAACGGAAGGGAACAGAGCGGGGTGACGTCACACATTGCACGCACAACAAAATAAACAAACAAACAAACGATGTGTGACGCAAGACGCATTTGTAAACTTTCTCTTAGTTATAAATAGACACCTTACTCTCTTGCGTCCCTCCCTGACTCATATCCAGTTACGATGGAGCCTCTCCGGCCCTCCTCCTTTTTACGCTGTGGAGGCGATGTACTCCGTCGTTGTGGCTGCTTTAACTCGTTTGAGCTGCGGAGCGCTTCCGGGTTCATATGCCGGGAACTTTTCTTCACGCTCTCGCTCGTCGTCTACGCGGGAGTAATGAATCCACGCAAGACCAAAGCGCTCCGTGTCCTGCATGTCCAATGCCATGTTAAATATAAAAAAGAGGGCAACGGGTGTTGCAAACTCAAGGTATGCCGACCCCACATGTGACGTGTATGACTTTACAAAGCGCCAAATGCCCGACCACCGGCTCTCGCGCATTGCAGCACCGCTATCAAGCATCATTGCTGATATATATATATATGTCTCTTTATGTGTGTGTGTGTGTGTGTGTGTATGTAAAGTGGTGTATGCACGTTCTCTCCTTTTAATGTAATGTTACCTTATTGCTGGTTGAGTGGTGATGGTGGGAGAAGGAAGCGGAGAGTGTTTTTTTTTATTGAACCTCTTCCGTAGCCTCTTCTGCTGTTTGCTTCCTTAACTCCGCACACATTCACCCGCATCATCATCAACAGCATCCGCGACAGCACGGCAAATAAATAACAATAAAAAAATAATAATAAATAAATAAATAAAAAGAAAAGGAAAGCCATTCTGCTCATATTTCGTTTTACAGGAGATACCAGTACGCCCATGACAATTAAACAAGTTGGTGCCGCAAGGGGCGTATGATGGGTCAATACATGAGCTCCTCCTTATTCACACCGCATGCATTTTCTTATTTTTGTTCTATTCATTTCTCCATGTATATATTATTTCTGGGCATTTAATCCGATTGTCGCCTCTCCTTTCCCCTCTCCTTTCCCCTATTTGCTCTTCCTCTTCAACGCCATCCCTCCCCGTCCTTTTCTTTTTTCTTTTTTCTTGTTTTGAATATGTCTCTGTGGGTGCCTGTTTGTGGTGCTCATTCGATTTGCACGTTCCATGGCAGTCTCGGTTTGTCATGCAAATTCCCCCCATCGCTCTCCGTCGTCCTCCTCATCATCATCAGTCCTCGGGGTTGTAATTCTCCCGCACGATGCGGTGAATTTGTGACGGGGTGTACTCGGACTCATTCGTTGCGTAAAGTGTGATGAGCTCCGGCGGGACGTACTCCGTTGCGGGGGAGTTTACGGTCAAGGAGCCAATGTTCTCCACATTTTCACCGTACGGGGTGGGCAGCACATCGTAAGGGTGGCCATATGTTTTCCATGGAATTTCCTTCGCGTCTGTTCGTGATATTTTCACAAGGCTCGTACAGAATACATCGCGGGGGTAATACGGTGACATCTTTAACGTTGTTGTGGCTACAAGAACAGGCACCGCAAAGTGTTTTGCGGCAATGCACAGAGGATGTGTGCCGATGGTGGCCAGAAGTCCACCGTTGGCCAACACACTCTCCGCACCAATGAGCACCTTTGTGCATGTCCCCATCACCGCAAAGGCGGAGCTGTCAGGGAGCACCTGCACCTCCGCCCCATTCTCACGCAACTCAACGGCTAATTTCTGCGTCAAATGCAGCGGAAACGGGGCGCCCTCGAGAATGATAACCTTGAACCTCACATGCGCCTCAAGAGCACTCAAAAAATAATGCCTTGTCGTGTTGCTGCATCCAATCGTGATGACAATGTCCGTTGCATGCAGCTGCCTCGAGGCCCGTGCACACAGTTCATCGCACATTCCCTCAACCTCCACCTCAAACACCTCCATGGATTCTAGCAGGCTGTCAAAAAAACCATCGATACACACCGGGAACTCCGCTACCCGCTCATCGTCTCCCACCTCACGTCTGCTGGGCGCCCGCCGCAGCGATTGTTCGCCCGGAATGCCGGTGCCTAAGATATCCGCCGTTTTCGTCTCTTCTGCTTCGTACGTGGCGTCCAACTCAAGAATACTCTCCTGCTCCGTACTGTTCATATTAAACCGCACCGTGAGTGCCTTGTGGAAGCAAGAAGTCCGTTGTCTTCTTTCATCAATACACGCTACACTGACCGGTGAGAATAATACGGACCCACTGCTCGTGCGTGAGCGTTCCAAGGATACCTGGTGCAGTTCCGAGTCTTGCGTCTGTGGCTGCAAGTTGTATGGGCTATCATTATTCTCACTGCCGTCTAATTCATTTATCCGCTGCGCCGCAAGGACTTCCAGCTCCGAAATACTCGCTGCATTTTCCATGGCGGACTTTCGAATAAGTGACAAAACCCTTCGTGTGACATTCATGAGCATCAGCGTGCTAAACTGCGCCCGCAGCACCGTCACACCCACAAAAGAAATAAGCCGCATCAATCGTCGCACTTGTTGCGTCGCTACAATATCCGCTGGACAGTTCGCACGGAGCATTTCATTGCTACTACTGTCCCGTTGCGCTTCATGGTCACGAAATTCGGTGACAACTTGACGCATAATCTTCAGCATGCCACACGCCGCCGCGGAAGAAAGACTCCTTCTGCTCCTGTTACCCTTTTTGCCGCGTCGGATACTACTTACAAGCGTCTCTGTGTTTCTTACAATGGCGTCAAGAAGGGATGCCGGCTCCTCCACACGATTGTCCATCGGCCACTTGAGCATCGTTACCTAACTTCCCCCCTCCCTCCCGCCCCCCCTTTTTTTTTTCTTTTTCCTTTTGCCTCTTTTATTCCAAACGAAAGTTGCGTTACTTCCCTTAAAAAAAAAAAAAAAAAAAAAAGGCGGAAACACACACACAACAAAAGGGGAATACAAAAACAACAACAAACAAACAAACAAACAAACAACCACAAAGACATGCAAGCACACAATAACGACAAAAAAAAAAAAAAAAAAAAAAAGACCGTAGCAACAACATTAACAACAGGAGTATTAAACATCACAATTTACATTTCATAAATAAAAACAACAACAAGAACAAAAAGGAAAACAAAAACAAAAAACAAAAACGGAGCAAAGCGCGCGCAAACAAGTGATATCGTAAACAGTAATAGAGCCATAATCATCGGCGGCGTTTTTCCAGTTGCCTTCGGCGTGCCTCACGCCTTAGCACAACTGTTGCCAATCGTTTAATTTGTTCTCGGGTAAGGGGATCCTCATTGTCAAGCAGCGTCACGCTGCGCTCAGCATCCTTTAATACCTCCTCGTCAGAAGCTGTGCTTGGACAGAAGGAGGCCTTGACATCTGTTGTTTCGCCGGAGGGCAATATACCAAAGCTGCCCATTTCTTGCTCGGAGGCAGCACTATTATCCACGTCATGGGAGCTCTCACGCCACGCGGCGCCTGTCGTCCCTGGAGATGGAAGCGCAATTCGTGTGTTGCTGGGTGGTACCACAACGAGCATTAAGTCCATTTTAACCGGCGCATGATCACGGCTGATTGCCTCGTCGGCTAGCGAGAATATTTTTTGCATAACAATGCGCATGTTTGTGATGTAGTTTTCAGCCGTGGTTAGGGGCACGGAGACTTCAGGGCGATAAGTTGCAACGACGGCAGCGAGCACATCCACACGCCGCGTTAGTTCTGCAAGGAGTTGTTGCAATTCCGCAGTTCCCTGAACCGCCTCCTCACGTTTAACGGTGGCCTCCTCAATACACTTTACAACTTCATCCCGTAAACCCGACGTCACGGGAGGTAGACCGACACCGCAGAGCTTCGCGTGCCTCGTCTCCTCCCTCAGACGCCGCACCACCGCAGAGAGCCGCTCCAGCTTTGCCTTTTCCTCCCGAACCTGATCCTGCAACTGTAGCCGCGCGGCGTACTCAAGCTCAAATTTTGTCATCAGCTCATCAATTGTCGACGACTCGGTGGCCCGCATCATCTTTCGCAGGGATTCCTCGTAGGCCCGCACGCGCTCCTCATCCTCCGGCGTCCCACCGATTGTCTGCAGCCGGTCGTCACCTCCGTCTCCCTGCTGCTGTGGCTCCCGCTGAACCATAGAAATGCGCTCCATCGCACTCACTGAGTGCTGTCTTCGGCGTATTCTCTCTTTATGCAGTGTCTCTGCCTCCTCAATGCGTTGGTGCTCCGTCTCGATGTCATTCTGAAGTTTTACCTCCCGAGTTTCCAGATAATGCGTTTCCTTAAGCGCCCGTTCCACACGTAGACGGCGATCACCGAGGGCCTTGTCTTTCATTCGTCGCCCCTCCTCAAATTCATCCTTAAATTTTTGTAACGCTTCCTTTGCAATTTGATGGTCGGTATTGGCGTTTTTGTACATCAGGACCAGCTTGGCATATTCCCTCCGCCGGGTTTCAATGTCATGCTCCAGGACGGCGACAGAAGACTCGCGGCCCGCCCATTCCTCCCGTAACTCCTCCAACACCTTTTCGTACATGCTTCTAATGCTTCTTACACATTGCTGTTCAGTTAGCATCTTGTCCAGTTGCTTCTCTAATTTCTGAATGCGCAGCACAACGCTGCGATTGCCAGTGACAGCTTCAAGCGGCGGCGTTTTGTCTGCCTCTTCCTTGAGGCGACGCGCCATCTCTTTCTCCCGGAATTTCTCCTCTAGTTTCTCTAGTTGATGCGTCAGGCGGTTGAGACGTCGTAGCTCAATGAATTTACACTGCTCAAGCTGCTCCAACTCCACCGCCGTCACATCACTCGTCCCGGCACGGATAGTGCGCAGGTGTGTGTTCTCGTCATGCATCTTCCGAATAGCACGTCGGTTGGCGGTGCTCCGTTGCTGAAACTCCCGCTCCAGCCGTGCCTGCTGCGTGGCAAGTTCCCGGAGACGCTCGGTGTATGACTCCACTTCGTCTTTTGGAACATCGGAGAAAACGGCACGCCGCACCCCCGCACTTTCCCCACGCTTCTTCTGCCGTTTGTTCTTCGCTTCCGACCTCGGGCCATCCAGTACGCTCTGTGGACGCCTCATTGCCTACCGCCTTCCTTTTCTCCTTCTTTACTTTCAGACCCCGCTACTTGTATATCTATCTATCTATCTATATGTATATTATATGTTCAGTGCAGGCCTGTGCAGACACGTAGGGTGGGGTGGAAGAAGAGGGTTCCAATGCAGACACACACAGAGAGAGAGAGAGAGAGAGGGAGAGGGAGAACGTGAGGTAAAGACAATTACAAAACCACCACCAAAGAAAGAGAACAACAAAAACAACAACAACAACAACAAAAGGTCGTGAAAATAACACACACACACACACACAAACAAAAAGGAGGAGAGATGCTGCATGGTTGACAACAACAGCAGTAGGAAGCCATCAAATGCCAAATTACAATTTGGAAAGAGTGAAAAAGGAATAGAAGAAGCAACAGCAACAGCAACGACGAAAAAACAAACACATGAATGCCAAATGACTGTGGTCCACTGGAGGGAAGGCACAAACACACACTGACATTCATTTTTTGTAATGCCACGCAAAAAACAACAACAAAAAACAACGGGTCTCTCCTCCACTCTTCCTTCTCCCTACACTTCTGCCTTACATCTCTCTCCTCCCCTTCAATCCACGGAGAATAGGAGGTGGGCTGATGCAGCGTTTCACAGACTCAGTTCGTGGTGCCCATGCAACATATCCAAATATCGCATCCATACCGCTGTGAATGATTGGCAGACAGAAAGGAATAGAAGAGAATACTTCTTTTCGTTTCTTTTGTTTTCTGCAACATCCTTCTAAAAGACACCGTAGCTGAGGCTGGGTGTCAGTTGAAGTCCACGGTGCATTTCGGAAATCGTGCCTTCGCCAGGCCAATTTGCTCCTCCGTGATTTGCTCATCCCTGGCCCGCCAAAACGACAGGAAACACGACGGCACACGCTCTGCTGTGGTGAACATGCGTTGGGTCTCACTGACAAGTTCGTCCAAGGATTGCCAGAGGGCCTCCCGGTTCTCACGGGCGACACGTTCAAACACAGCGGAGTACCGCAGGGCAAAAGTCACACACATCGGGCGCACGCGCAAGTCCCCAGAAGGAACGCCACCACACACCCCGTTATTATCACCGCCCTCATCATCACCGGCATCCGCATTGTACGCTGCGAGTCGCTGCAGAAATTCACGCATCCGAACAATATCCTCCAAAGCGTAGGAATTAAAGGAACCAGGCAATCTCCAGCCAAACGACAGTCCAAAGCCCAAACGAGACACAAACGCATGGATCATTGCATGAAGTTTTGTCTCCAAAAATTCGCTAAACGATCGGGGATTCATAGAGATCTTTACCGTGTCATCATGGCCCGCCGCAACAATGTCTGCATTCCACCAAAATAAAAAATTTGTGCTCAGTTTACCATACAGCGTGGAGGACTGGGCAAACAACCGATGCGCCATGGCAGCGGCGTCGGGATCTTTGAAATCCAGTTTCACAACGCCCAATCTCCCTGACCGTAGCCGCACGATACTTGCCAGCTCTTCTAACCAGGCGGCGAGCGTAACGCATTTAGACGCCTCCCCCGCGGGAATTGGGTCATGGTGCAGCAAAGGCTCCATTTTTTCATCGTCCGGCGCCACACGCACATCCGCCTCAAGGCCCACTGGGCATTCCTCTGTGCCACTAGAAAGAAGACTTGCAGCTGCATGCAGTGCGGCCAATGAGTTCACGGCGTGTGCCCAGCTCTGTGGGACGCAATTATTCACCACATTGACAGTGCCAAACATCATCCTTTTCTCTGCTGAACTTAATCCCCTTCTACTTTGGAATTTTTTCTTTTCGTCTGCCCTTCCTGCTGTTGCTGCAATTCATTCAACGCCAAAGGTCCTTCTCATAACAGACGATGGGACGTGAAAACAAACAAATAAATAAAAAAATCAAGAAGGCACAAGATACACACGATGAACAGCAACTAATAACAACTCCAAAAGAATCGCGCAGAGCATTGCGCCTCAGTAAACTCTCTTGCACGCACGCACAAAAGCAACAAGAGCGAGGGAAGGAGATACCCCTCTCTCCTCAGTGCAGTGTAACCTTGGCTTTGCCTGTTGTTTTCGTCTTCGCCCTGTTAAGCACCTGCATGCTGCTCTCTACTCTTTTCCGCATCAATGCATGCATGTACGTTCTACCGGCATGAATGTGATAGGCGAGTGTGCTACGGAAGTTTACAAGCTGGGTGACGGCCTCTATGAGATGTTCTTTGGGCTCCATGTGTCGCCGGAAGAGCTGAAAACTGCACCAAAACACATTCGCATCCGTCAAAGATGACACGGATAGATTCCCTGGAAGAGAAGCAGGAGGCTTACCGTGGTCAAACACGAATGCAGGTGCCGCACTGATCTCCCGCTGTAGTTTTTTCGCATCCATCATGGCCTGCAAAAAGTGCCGTGTGAATACTGCCTCATCCTTGGATGCGGAGCGCAATGCGATGGCGACAATGAAGTTTCCCTTGCTGCTAAACAGCACCATCGCCTCCTCCGTGTGGTAGTGCAAGACAACAGGCTTCAGGGGGGTCTCTGGCTGCGACAGAAACAGCTCGCACTGTCTGGCAAACACAGGGATATAGCTCCATATCCGCAACTGCGCTGCCGACTGCAGCGCCTCATTCCGCACGGTTGCTGCAACACCGGCGGGTATGTGAACTTCCGCCACGAAGGCACCGTCGCTACGGCTGTTCGCGTCATTCATCACAAACTTCCGCGTGGCGGTAGAAAAAAGCGTCGGAAGAACGTCATCAAAGTTGCGATGGGCATTCAATTCTTTAAATGGTGTGGAGTGCCGCAGCGCGATGGTGACGGCGGCAAAATGCGCTTCTCTCTGCGATGTGGGGTGAGTTCCGATTTCCTCTTCCTTCTCGTTGACTCGCGACGCCTTCCACTCGACATGAATGTGATACTCACATCCGTCAAAGTCCCGCACGACCGCGTCAGGGGTTTTGTTCGCTCCCGTCAAGATGCGATCCACGGCAGCCTGAATCGACGGGTGAACCCTCTCCAGCAAATACATGGACGCACACTCAACTGCCACATGTACAGAGGAAAAAAAAAGGGGGAAAAAAAAAAGAAGAATAAAAACAATAATAATAATAATAATAATAATAATAATAATAATAAAGAAAAGAAGTAAAATAAAATAATACAATTTTTCAAAAAATAAAACAAAAAACACAAACAAACAAAAACAAAAAAACACATGTCTACACCACCCTATGGCCCAAATCCACACACCTCATACAGGTATAGATACAAACACGTACAAAAAAATTTCATCACCCAGCAAATTCCCTCACATTGCAGTCCTCGCAAACCAAGAAATAAAAGACAGGCGCCAAATACCCACGCAACGACCGGCAGTCGGGCGATGGCGCAGCAGCAAATAATGGACTCCGTTCCGCCACAATACTCCACACCTGACGGTTATCGCCGTGGGTGGACTCTTTGCCTGCTCTTTTGCAATTTTGCATGTGGGCATCCAGTGTCGCAAAAAAGCGGCGAAGCAGCGCGCGTCCGCTAATGCCAGAGAAGGCCATGGTGCCATCTTGCACCAACACCTCGTTGTGTGGGCATGCCGCGCCATTTGAGCACAGAAAACCATCGGTTTCCCCTCCATGGGCCATATTCGCACCATCCCCTCTCTCCGCACACACCAAAAATCCATCCGCGCACCACGGGCAGCGCAGCAGCGGAGACCCCACCGCAACCGATGACAAAATGCACCCGCCCTCGCCGCGGCTCCGTTTAACTCCCCGTGCCGCGCTCATTGGGCATAAAATTGCTACCAAAATAAATGAGACCTTCGCCCCTGTCTCTCTCTCTCTCTCTGTGTGTGTGTTTACGTTTTCTTCTTCCTCTTCTCCCCGCTCACCTCCACTTACGGGCGGCCAGCGTCGCTCCTGCCACGCCACGGAAACAAACAAACAAACAAACAAAAAAAGAGGAAAGACGGCTGATTTTCACCCATCAGAAGTGCATCGATCCCCGTCAACTCGCATACACACACGGAGAGACAGAAAGACGGAAATAAATCCAGACCAAAAGCAGAATTTGTTCGTCGTCTTCATCCTTAACGCTTACACAACGCTCTCTTTTCCCTCCATGCACCCCATACATTTTCCTTGGCACGAAACTCTCGCACAGAAAAAGAAAAAGAAAAAAAAATATATATATATATATATATATATGTATACCCAGTTTCTTAAATTAAAAAATGCCCTTCCTTTCATTCAATTAATTTCACCCTCCATAAAACAACAACAACAACAAAAATCATAATTTCTCTTTTCCCTTTCTTTCCTCGCCCCTTGTTCAGTTACTTCCCCCCAAATAAAATAATAACAAAAAAAAAAAAAACATGTATCCACGCGTCGCCTTTCTACGTGCATATTTGCTAAAAAAACAACACGACCGTGGTCTTTTTTTGGGGGGGGAGGGGGTTTCCCTCCCCGCGTTTTCCTTCTACCTCTTTCACTCTTACCCCACGGCAACAATGGCCTCCAGGGCGATGTGAATGGCGTTTTTGAGCGCCTGGCCTGACTGCTCCGAGGTCGTAAAAAGATGCTCTGCGCCGGCGCGCTTCGCCACAACAACGCACATCGACCCCGCCTGGTACCCAAGCAGATGGGAGAGAAAGCACACCGCGCTCGTCTC